ACGTTTTACGTTAACGAACGACGACGTAGTTTGTTACGTACTAATATAACGTTTAAACTTAACTAACTAGTTAAATTAAACTAACTAATTACTTTCCTACTACCTTACCTTACCCTACCTCTATATATATATATATATATATATACGCATACATTCCATGTTGGAATTGCCACAGATACGGCTTCGATGTCAAGCCCGACAACTACATGGAGTGGAAGGGGGCACTCGAAGAACTGACCATGACGTCCAAGGAGAATGCGCTGTACCCTCTGCTGCACTTCGTCATGGACGATTTGCCACAGAAGTCTAGAGGGCCGTCGCTGGTATGTCAATGTAACAAGTGTAGTACATGTTTGTTGGAGGGTGTGCATGGGCGTTTGTTTAGTAGTGTCCCGTATGTTTGTGTCTGGCTGTTCTTGTTTTACATGTTGGTGTTTGGTTATGCTTTTCGCCCATGTTTGTTGGCGGGTGTGGGTGCGTGCTATCAATCTCTCAGCGCATGCGTCGATATTTGTGTGAAGGTATTGTTTCGTGTCTTTAAGCGATATGTTTGTTTGTTTTTTGAAAGTGTTGTGTCTGTGTGCATGTGTATGTCCATAACGAGCATTGCTCATCATCCAGCTACACAAAGGGAACATACCGACAATCACCTGTCTTTGAGTTTGTCTAATTCCTGTCGACTGTACCCGTATCGAATGCACAGCTTAACTCATCTAAACAACTCACATATGTTAAATCAATCACCATCTCTTAATTGTTTTAAATCAATCACCATCTCTAATTGTATTAAATCAATCACCATCTCTAATTGTATTAAATCAAGCACCATCTCTAATTGTGTTTAATCAATCATCATCTCTTAATCGTATGCTCTTCAGGACACAACCATGCTATGGAAAGCGCTGGAGGGCTCCAACATCGAATGTCCGTCCGTGACATCGCTAATGGGCATCTATCTCTCCTACCTCGTACACTCCGGTTACCTGGAACCGCCGACGTTGGCGAACCTAGAGGGTATAGAGGCACTGCCTGCGTTGGATATAACCGGTGAAATCGGCATCGTAAGACGCTCGGGTAACTAAATAAAGATGATTGATCATATAGACGCGTGTATACACTCAGGTCATCTGCAGCCGCCGACGGTGGCGAACCTAGAGGGTATATTGGCCCTGCCTGTGTTGGATATAATCGGTGAAATAGGTATCACAAGACGCTCGGGCAACTAAATAAAGATGGTCTTTCAATCGACTGGTTTATCTGTCTATGTATCAGAGTTTGAGCTTGTTTTTGTGCCCTATAGTAGAGCGACTCTTAGCGCGCACAACTGAGGTCATTTGACCATGTACAATTGCCCTAAGCCGATTGCAGTGGTCCCTTCCGTGAAATACCTATGGGTGTCCGGTCTATACTATTAATGGTACTCAAGAGTTGTGTTGATGTTGACGCGGATTTGCGAGCAGGTGCCGCGTGTAAAATGATCTGCCGGATACTCCCGTGATGTTTGTGTTTTCCATTCCTTTTAGTGTATAAGTATGTTATTGTCTGTCTCGTTCCAATAGCACTTAACTTATCGGCTATACCAATAGCTGTTAACTTATCAGCTGTTCCAAGAGCAGTTACCTGATCGGCTGTTCCAATAGCAGTTAACCTATCGGCTGTTCCAATAACAGTTAACTTATCGGCTGTTCCAATAGCAGTTGACTTATCGGATGTTCCAATAGCAGTTAGCTTATCGGCTTCTAGCCAACTCTTTTACTGCCTTGTCTACCGTAGGCAACCGGTCACAGAACCTGCGTTCGCCTGCACATATTCACTACATGTTTTTCTTTTGTACCTACGCCGTGTACATTAAACTGTTGCCATTCATTTGTTGTCATGTCCATGCACATCTTTATATATTACTGGATTTAAATAATGAGTGATTTATGAAGCTAACACTTTCAGTGATATATATTACTACTTTGAAATAATGAGGGAATGTGAGGGAATGTCTTCAAATAATGAGGGAATGTAATAAGCGTTAGCTTTCAGTAATTTATATTACTGGCTTCGAATAATGAAGACTAAATCAAGATATTCTCTTTCAGTAATTAATATTGCTGGTTTCAAATAGCGAGTGACTGTATCGTGCTGACGCTTTCAGTAGTATATGATACTGGCTCGAATTCTGAGCGAATATATCAAGCAAACGCCTTCAGCAATACATATTCCTGGCTTCAAATAATATGGAACTGTATCAAGCTAACACTTACAATTATGTATATTGCAGGCTTCAAAAAGAGGCCTATTCCAGCTTGCGCTTTCAGCAATATATATTACTAGCTTTATCAAGTTAACGCTTTCGGTAACATATATCTGGCTTCAAAAAATAAGGAACTATAAAGCTATAAACGCTTTCAACTGTATATTTCACTGGCTACAAATAATGAGGGACTTAAACCAAGCGAACGCTCCCAGTGATATATACTACATACTGGCTTCAAAGAATAAGGGACTATACGACGCTAACGCTTTCAGTGATATGTATTACAATATTTCTTAAATATCAAAGGAATGAATCAAGCTAATGCTTTTAAAACAATGAGGGTCTATACCAAGCGTACTCTTTCAGTAATATATAATTCTGGTTTTGAATATTGAGGGATTACATCAAGGTAGTGCTTTCTGTAGTTTATTTATATATAGCTAGCTTCAAATAATGAAGGACTTTGCCAAGCTGACGCTTTCAGTATGATATGTTGTTAGCTCCAAATATAAGAGCCTTAAATGACAATCTACCGTTTCCAATCAATAATAATACTGACTTCAAATTATATGGACTATATCGAGCTAACGCTTCCAGTGTAATATATTTGCCGGCTTCAAATAATGAGAGACTATCCCAAAAGCTAACGCTTTCAGTATTCTATGCATTTTAAACGGCTTCAAATAATGAGAGAATACATCATGCTAGCGCTTTCACTTAAATTTATCACAGGCTTCAAATAGTGAGGGACTATATCAAGCTAACGATTTTGGTAGTATATATTACTAGCTTCTAATATTAAGGAGGGGCTATATCTAGTTTTTATAAATCGCTTCAAAGAATGATGGATTATACCAAGCTATAAACGCACTCAATTATATACAGTTATACTCGCTTCAAATATAAATGAGGGACTCAATCAAGCTAGCGCTCCCAGTTATATATATATAAATATATGTATATATATTACTGGCTTCGAATAATGAGGGAATATACCAGGCTAACGCTTTAGTAATACATATTACTAGCTTAATATAGTGAGAGACTATATCAAACCACCGCTTTCAGTATAAATACATATTACTAGCTTCAAATAAGGAATGGCTACAACAAGCCAATGCTCTCAGTAAGTATAAATGTACATATCTGACTACAAATAATGAGGGACTACACCAAGCTAACACTCTCAGTAATACATAATGCTAGCTTCAAGAAATGAGTACCTATATCAAGCTAACGCTTTTGTAATATAACACTCTCAGTAATACATAATGCTAGCTTCAAGAAATGAGTACCTGTATCAAGCTAAAACTTTGTAATTTTTAAATATTACGAGCTTCAAATAATGAGGAAGCATATCACGATAATAACGCTACCAGTAATAGATAATATCATCTTCAAATTCTATGTCTGCTATCACGGGTGTGCGATTTCATTGATATGGTCAGTTATCATCAATTCGTGACAGTTCTGTCACTCACATTTCCGGATTTTTAATAGTTATGTATGGATATAGCTACAGCAACGGCTACAACTACAGTACGGCCACATACAGTTCAGGATTTCAATAGTTGTCTATGGCTGCAGCCGCAGCTACAGCACGGTCACTTATATTTTTAAATTTCAATCTACAGCTACAAATACAGTACGGTCATTTAAATATTCATATTTTAATAGTTGGCTATGGCTACAGCTGCAGCTACAGTACTATTCTTCACATTTCAGGATTACAATACTTGTCTATGGCTACGGCCAGAGCTACGGTACGGTCACCTATATATTTAGATTTTAATCAACAGCTATAAATACAGTAAAGTCATTTACATTTCTGTATTTTAATACTTGTCTATGCTACAGCTACAGCTACAGTACTATTACTTACATTTCAGGATTTCAATACTTGCCTTTGACTACAGCTACAGCTACAGTACTATTGCCTACAATTCAGGATTTCAATACTTGTCCATGGCTACAGCTAAATCTACAGTACTATTACATACATTTTAGGATTTCAATACTTGTCTATGGCTACAGGTACAGCTACAGTAATATTACTTATATTTCACGATTTCAATACTTGTCTATGGCAACAGCTACAGCTACAGTTTGGTCATTTATATTTCTTCATTTTAATAGTTGGCTATGGCCACTGCTACAGCTACAATACTGTCGGTTACATTTCTGCATTTTATATATATTGACTATGGCTACAGCTACAGCTACGGTACTATTACTTATATTTCGGGATCTTAAATAGCTGTGTATTGCTACAGCTACAGCTATAGCTACAACAGTACTGTCACTTACATTTCCGAATTTTAATACTCGTCTACGGCTACGGCTAAAAAAACAGTCCGATCGTTTACAGATCTGCATTTTAATAGTGAGCTATGGATGCAGCTGCAGCTACAGTACTAATACTTACATTTCTGGATTTTAAATGTACTGTCGCTTTCATTTCTGGATCTTAAAATATTGTTTACGACTAAAAAGGTACAACTACAGCTACCGCACTGTCGTGTACACTTCTAGATTTCAAGTAGTTGTGCATGGCTACGGCTACAGCCACAGCTACACAGCTATGACTACAGCTACAACTACAGTACGGCCACATGATACAGTTCAGGGTTTCAATAGTTGTCTATGGTTACAGCCACAGCTACAGTTCGGTCACTTACATTTTTAGATTTCAATAGGTGTCTATGTCTACAGGTAAATATTAGATTTCAATAGGTGTCTATGTCTACAGCTACAAATGCAGTACGGTCATTAACATTTCTTCATTTTAATATTTGGCTATGGCTACAGCTACAGCTACAGTTCGGTCACTTATATTTTTAGATTTCAATAGTTGTCTATGTCTACAGCTACAAATGCAAGCACGGTCATTAACATTTCTTCATCTTAATATTTGGCTATGGCTACAGCTACAGCTACAGTTCGGTCACATATATTTTTTAGATTTCAATAGTTGTCTATGTCTACAGCTACAAATGCAGTACGGTCATTAACATTTCTTCATCTTAATATTTGGCTATGGCTACAGCTACAGCTACAGCTCGGTCACTTATATTTTTAGATTTGAATAGTTGTCTATGTCTACAGCTATAAATGCGGTACGGTCACTTATATTTCTTCATTTTAATAGTTAGCTATGGCTACAACTATAGCTACAGTGCTGTCGTTTGCATTTCTGCATTTGTCGGCCATGGCTACAGCTATAACTACAGTACTGTCGTTCACATTTCTACTTTTTTTTTAGTCGACTATGGCTACAGTTAAAGCTACAGTATTATTACTTACATTTCTGGATCTTAAATAGCTGTGTATTGCTACAGCTACAGCTATAGCTACAGTACTGTCACCTACATTTCAGGATTATATTTCTTGTCTACGGCTTCGGCTACAGATACATTTCTTTCTGCATTTTAATAGTGAGCTAGGGGTGCAGCTACAGCTACAGTACTATTACTTACATTTCTGGATCTTAAATAGCTATGTATCGCTACAGTTACATCTATAGCTACAGCTACAACTATTCACAACTACCGTACTGTCGCTTTCATTTCTGGATCTTAAGTAATTGTTTATGACTATAGGTACAACTACAGCTACCGCACTGTCGCGTACACTTCTGGATTTTAAATAGTTGTGCATGGCTAAAGGCACAGCCACAGCTACAACTACAGCTACAGCTACAGCTACAGCTGGAGTACTGGCACTTACCTCTCGGGGCTTCGAATATTTGTGTATTACTACCGCTACAGATACAGTTACAGTGCTGTCATTTACCTTTATGGATATAAAATAGCTGTGAATGGCTACAGCTCAGTAACAGCTACAGCTACAGTTACAGCTACAGTACCGTCACTTACTTTTATGGATTTAAAACAGTCTTGTATGGCTACAGCTGCAGCTACAATATTGTCATTTACATTCCTGAATTTTAAATAGTTATCTATGGCTACGGCTACAGCTACAGCTACTGTTACACTACCGTCCCACT